TTCCTCCTTTGGACCTGCCTTCGTCTGGTCAGCACAGTGTTCACTCTGTGAGAGGTTTTGGGTCTCATAAGGGGCACCGGCCCTTTTGCGGTTTACCCTATTGACGAGGAGATGAGGGGGGAGGCTTGCACTGTTCACTCATGCCTGGTTCCACAATTCATAGGCATTTTGGGTCATTTTGTGCGGTTTCCGGTGGCATTGGGTAGCCCCCACCATCATGGGGGTTTGGGGCTGGCGGGGCAGGCCTCTTCCCCTTTGCTCTGTTAGGTCATCTTGGAGTGGGTTCTCTTGGGTGTGATCGAAATGACGACGTCCATCAGATGGGTTTCCTGTCTGTTTCCGGTCCCGAAACGGGACTGTGCGGACCTGCGGTTCATTCTGGACTTGTCCCGTCTGAACCCCTGGGTTCATTGCCCCTCCTTTTGGATGACTACACTGTCCCAGGTTCAGCACCTGTTGGAGCCGGGCACTTGGTTGGTGTCCCCTGGACCTCCGAGATGCTTATTAGCATGTCCCGATTCATCCAGGGTTCAGGGACTGGCTCGGTTTTGCTGTGGGGCATCAAGGCTTTCGTTGTCTCCCGTTCGGGTTGAACCTGGCACCTCACATGTTCACGCGCCTTACACGGGTCGTGGTGGCCCGTCTGTGTCTTTTAGGTGTTCGGGTGTTGGCCTACCTCAACGACTGGCTGGTTTGGGCTCCTATCCGGTCCTTTTGTCTGCTAGCCAGGGATTTGGTTCTTTCTCAGCTCGCCGGGTTCGGGTTCTTGGTGAACTGGAGGAAGTTCTATCTGGTTCCCTCCGAGGTTTGGACACAGCAGGGCCTTGTGTGGGACTCTCGGACCGCTTCCTTATCTCTTACTCCGGAGTCTCTCCTGCAGCTGCGGTCCCGCATGCACCTGTTTCTGGAGGCTACCGGGTCACCCAGCGGTTGCTCGAGGGTCCGTGTGAGAGCCTGAACTTTGCAATGCTGATATACCCGCCAGGTCGGGTTTGGCTTCGTCGGCTGTTCTGGTTCCTTCAGAGACATCCCTTCCGTCTCTCTTGCGATTGCTGGGTTCGAAGGCCTTGCATCGGTTGCTGCGTCACCGGCTTCCTTTTCGGGTTTTTCGGGGTTCGGTGCCTTGGCGCCTACCCAAGCCCTCGTTCGATGTGTTCACGGATGCGTTGTCTCTCAGTTGGGGTTTTGTGACCAGTGCTCACCCAGCCGGCCAGAGATGGAGGGGTCCGTCTTTTCATCGAGCCCACAGCATGCTACGGGAATTCGCGGCAGTGTGGTTTGCTCTTCGAGGGCTTCAGGTCACCCACAGGTTGACGATCTGGCTCCATTTGGACTGGTCCTTGGTGGTTCATTGTCTGAATTGGGGGGGGGGGGGGGTTCGATGTGGTCCTTGGTTCTTTAGCGCTGGTTGCTTCGGGTGATTCGTCTGCTTAATTCTCTGGGTTTGGCTTTCCTGGCAGTTCATGTGTGGGGAGTGTCCAACGTCTTGGCCGACGGTCTGTCTTGTTTTGTTCCCCTCTCCACGGTTGATGCTGACTCCTTCCGTTGGTTTTGCCAGACGTTTGGACACCCCGAGGCGTCCATACGTGTTTTGGATGAGGCTGGATGTGTTTTGACATCCAGCCTCAGAACTGGGGTGTGGATCACCGGCACACTGGGTCAGGGGCTCACCCTTTCCCCAGCTGCACAGAAGGCGCCACAGCAATAGGTGACGTCACACTACAGTAGTTTGCTCTTTTTTTTTATTTTTTTTTTTTTTTTTTTTGGGGTGGGGGGAGTTCTATCCCCTTCTTCGGCTTTTGGTAGCAATATTTTCACCAGAATAGGGGTTTGTTTTGGGATGCTTACTTTTCTGGGTGCCTGACCCGGTCGATGGCAGACATATAATGCTTCCAACCACACAGGGGCTTCTATAGGCCAGTGTTCCCCATGCCTCTCTGAGGGGGGCTAGGTTCTGGTCGTGGTCCCCGGTAGGCCTAGAACTCCATACACATGACTGATGCCAAAGTCTGACATTAGCATATCAGCCTGAATAGCTCCGGGGAGCCTCTGGGTCTCGCCCAGAAAATGGCGTTTCATTACATTCAACGCTGGGTTTTTCCTACTTCGTCTCTAGACACACCTATGTGCTCTTTGTTGTTCTCTGGAATTCTTTATTTTATTTTATTTATTTATTAGTATTTAATATTAATATTAATAATATTTTTAATAATGTAATACTAACAATTAATAATAATAATAATAATAATAATAATAATAATAATAATATATTAATAATTAATATAATATTAATAATTAATAATAATAATAATAATAATAATTAATAATAATAATAATAATAATTAATAATAATATATTAATAATTAATATTAATATATATTTATTCTTTATTTTACTGCGAGAGGCATGCACAGTAAAGACTATGCGTGCCTCGTCCTGCCCCTCGTCCAGCAGAACAGAACCATGTGCTCGGTGGACCCGTACATGTGTAAACAAACTCCGAGAACCGAGGCAAACAATGAGTACCGAATCTAATTTTTTGAAGAAATTGAGTACGAGAACCGAAAAATACGAGAATAGGAGCATACGAGAACTGAGGTTCCACTGTATATTTTTTCATATCTTAGGCGATGCTGTGGTCACAAGCTGAACAGCAGTGCTGTGAGCTCATGCTGTGTGTGCCAGCCTTGGTGGCTCACTCAATACTGAGGCTCTCACACCCGGGAATGTTGCCCACAATTTTTTTTTTTTAAATGCATCTGTTTACAAGAGCCCTGAGGAAGCTGATGTGAACCCTGTGTAGCCGCGAGCCGTTTAAATCTTGCGCTGTACTCCAAAACGTCATATGAAGTAGTGCGCACTTTTTATCACTTACTCAACACATCATATGAAGTGTTGCGCAATTTAAGGGTTAATAATTCTATGTGAAAAAAATTTAATTTTTAAATTTTTTGTGCACAGGCAGGTATGACCATTTTTCCATAGCTACACATTGAGGGTTAATGGCTATGGCCACCCAGTATATTATAATGATTGTGGTCAGCCAGTATTTTATATTGGCTGTTGCCATCCAGTACACTGTCTAAACACACTTGTCCAAATAATATTGGAAGTACCCCCCTGCTGGATAAGCCAGACATTTGAATAAGCATAATTCTTACAAGGGAAGTCCAAAAAATAACCATATTCACAATTTTTTGTACAACAACCACCATAATTCTTATTTCAACACACACTATAAATCAAACATATAATTTAAAAGAGAAACTTCAGCTTATCTTGTAGATTGTCCTCTTGTGTGATAGTGTAGGTCTTGAAATCTGTAGTTCTTGAAAATTTATGTAACCTATGGTAATCTCAAATTATCTGATTTTTCTATTCAGACATGGCAAAATTTTGCCAGAAAATTCCCTGAATTTGACTTAGACTCTGTGCCAGTCTGCATTATTTGGCCAACTCTCCAGGTATCTGAATTTCTGTTTGGATATGGTAAAGTGTGGCAGGAAACTATCTGAATCTTATTTTGGCCAGATAACCCAAATACTGGGGTACCTTCGTTAATGATCCTAATCTGTTCTGAGAGACGCGTCGCACACCAAACATTTGTACACCAAAACGAAATTTCCCATAAGAAATAATGTAAATTGAATTGATCCATTCCACACCCCCAAAAATATTAACTTAAAAAATACATTTTATACCAAATAAGTCATTTTGGACTACAATTATGTATGTATTTCTTACCTTTAATGAAGACTCTTGTTGGCATATGGAAGACGGTGAGGAGAGGTGTTAGTGTTTGGAAGGGAGTCCCCTTCCATTATAACAGCAGTAATGACATATCTGGGGACTCTTTTTTCTATATTTTGCAGGCATACCACTAGGATCTGATTGTGGCTCACTGCTTGCTTGTCTTACTAAGAATTTATCTATACACTCGTTTTTCCCCTATGTTTTAACACTTGTCTGTAGTGAGACATCACATTGTCTCACTATGAATGATCTCATCTTTTTCCTCTATCATCATTGTCACACCTATTTTCTTAGGTTTAACTTTACCACTGACTTTCTTGGGACTCATGGCATGATATATAATAAGATCTTTTATGTTAAAAAAAAAATTAAATTCTTCACATAGAATTCAAGCGAAGTTGCTGTCGTCACTACTCGGGATACACTGGTAAACAAACTGAGAGCACTGCGCCCCCAGCACCACGTGCTCGTTCGACCTATTCGCGTATCAACTGATGTCGTCTTCCAAGTAAACCGTCGTACACCAATTCAAATTTTACCATTAATATGACTTCGTACACCAAAAAATTCGTACTCTAGAGCAGTCATACACCAAGGTACCACTGTACTGTATTTGGTTTAGCGAACTTCGGATAACCGAGCTCATACAGTATACTGTAATTGTTGTAGGCAAATAATATATGATAATGTTTATGACCAATTAGTATATTATTATTATTATGGTAGTGGCTACCCAGTATATTAACTGTATCAATGACTCTTCAAAGATATGAAGGTTTTCATCTAGTGTTACCTGATTTACTTTACCTGATTTGTTAGTATACTTGACAAGCAGATAATGAACAAAATTGGAAATATGCAAAGGATAGAAGATTGGATGTTGAGATATGCCTTTGAAGAAGCCCAGGTGATAATTTCACCAGACACAGCACATATTTGAGAAGAAACAATGGAAGTCAAATGAAACACTTAATTATTGATTTTCCAGTCTTATTATTCTGTATACAGTATTGTATTTAGGAAATCTTTATTGCTGTAAATGGATATTAGTAGTAAACAAAAATGTTTATGACTAATGTCCATTTACATGTCCATTTACAGTGTAACAAGTGAGTATGGTTTACCTTTTATTTTCCTAATACTCATGTGCTGTGGTAAATCATACTATTATGAGTAACATGTGATTTGGTTCAATCAGTAACAGTGAAAATAGTGATGGAGTAACACATAACTTTGTGGCATTTCAGAGATGCAGCAGAGGATGACGAGGAGGAGGAGCCCCCGGTGCAAGGCCCACTGCCCTACGAACCCGATGATGCTCCCTGGAAGAGGGGCGAGTCTGGCATTAGGAAGTTGTGAGTATTAGATAATGCGTTGCTTTTCTGAGAAGGCCCTACCAGTAATTCTCTGAGGTTATGCACAAGTAGCTACTGAGGGAACCACCAAAAAAATGGTGGTGTTACATTCACTGCTTTATTTTTTACTTTAAAAATGTAGAAATTCAATTTGTGAGAATTGTTTTACTATTATTAGTTATTAAACCAATGTAGTTTTGGTGTTTTGGTGTATAATACTATATATTGTAATGACTGATATGAAAATTTAGAGTTTTGGATATACTGTACAGTAATTGTTATTTAACCACTGCACTGCGCTACCCAACAAAACACGGACTATGGCGGTGCCCAACCCAACTTTAAAGCGATGTTAGGATATCGTAAGATTCAAATCCCGAGCACGGTAGGTTGGGTACGAGATGGACGATTGAGACTTCCAGTGAGATGCAGCCATCTTAAAAAAAATTCCTACCATGCCCCTGGGCTATGGGTTAGCTCAGTACTAAGTGAGCAACCATGGGTGGTGCATGCACCTCTGGCTTCCAATCTTCTGTTGGACACGGTGTTAAAGATCACTCTCTGATGGTGAAATTCAGACCTTATTGTTTGAAGAACATAAAGGTAGTGATATTGATTAAGCAAAATACACTAAAGCCCTGACACAAGTGTCAGATAAAAGTGATACAGCATGGATGAGGACAATACAAAGAGCGTAACCGGTATAGGGTGAGCGCCAGGAATGTTGCGGCCTCCTGGGCCATTGACTTCACCATTATTATCACCACCTGTGTCATCTCCAATTTTGTAATAAAGTGATACTATAGATGAATCGTTTTCTGGGTTCAGTGATGCTGCTTCTGACACAAGTAGCATAGATGAACAGTGTGTTAGCGGCAACCATGCTGGTGGTGCCAGTACAAGGAGCACGGATGAATTCACGAGGGAGGACTGTGATAATTTTTTACCACACAAACCACAATTTGATGATACTGGTGTTGGTGTTGCATCCACTTTTCCATATACAGGTAAAGATATGAGTGAAAGTGAATATTTTATAGCTTATTTTGAGAGCCATTCATGCAACATCTTGTTGAAAAAACCAACAAGTATTCATTGCAACTGCAGCTTATTACTGGGGGCTTATTATCTGCTTCACGTATGACACGATGGAAGGACACAACTGTGGCTGAATTGTATGTGTCCTTAGCTCTGTGTCTGCTTATGAAACATTCCATAAAACACGTAATACAGGATTATTTGAACAAATTGTGCACTGTTCCAAGCCTAGTATTCAACAAGTACATGTCATGAAACAGTTTCCTGATATTTCTACAGTGTCTAGACTTTGAAAACATTGCAAATGTTGATAAAAATTATTGACTTTGTAAAGTACAAAAAGCGTTCAGCGATATCAGACAAAAATTTTGTGATTACTGTACTTTGTACCAGGACAGAATTTTGTCATTGATCTTTTCCTAGATCTTTTCATGACTACCTTACACTTCACAAGCTTGGCTAAATACCACCTACAGGAACTAAAGCCAAAAGTATACGTGAGTGCAATGATTGCAAGCACACAGAACGAAGAAACAGGAAGCGGAAATCTGTGTGTGTATACCTGGTGCATCGAGTGCAAAGTTGCGCTGTGTACCATGTACTGCTTCTTTGATTATTACTCACTTCCGAAGTATTGTGTGTAATACAGTGTATGACTGTGTAAATAGTGTATGAGAATGTACATAGTGTAAATAAATTAAATATTGAACAAAATAATATGGCGATAAAAAATTTTTGTGGACACATTGTTGACACGTTTCACAGTTCCTTGGAACATTATGAATGTTCTACTGTGTACATATTGTAAGAGACATAAATGGGCATCAGATACGATAAAAAAAAGTAAGAAGAAAGGATTGAAAATGCATTAAAAAATTAATAAAAAGATATTTGTGGCAACTTGCGAGTCTTGAATTGCCCATGCGATCGCCTCTGGGAGCTTCCTGCACGGGCAAACACTCATTGGTGACGTCACATCACATCTCCATGTTGCCACAGCCAAAGTTATTTTTTTACATTTTTACTAGTACATGTTCAGGAAAGGGATTTTAACAATTTACAAAGAAATTTTCTGTGGGGAGCCTTATGACTCCCTGGAGCTTATTGGGCTAATGTACTTTATATTAGACCGGGACATTAGCTGTGGAGTTCAGACCTACCAGGGACCAGAACCGGAACCTGGCCCCTTCAGAGAGGTTTCAGGGAGCAGTGGCCCTGGAAAACCCCCCTGTGGGTTGGGGATTTTCCATATTTGCCATTGACCGGGGTTAGGCACCCAGAATGTCAGGCATAACAAAACAAGCCCCACATGGTAAGAAACTAAAACAAAAAAATGAACAGAGAGGTAGAAACCCCCTACAATCCCACGGAAACAAGCAAACATCACACTTTACTGCCATGCCGTTTGTCCGCGCAGCCCTCCCATCCCCGAGAGGGGGAGGGGGGCCCCCCGGACCTCACCGTGCTGGCTGTCTAGCACTCCAGTTTGTAAGCTAGTATCAACCGGGACAGATGCTTCTCTGGCCTCAAATTTCTGGGCAGTGCCTTGTGTGGCGTTCTCTGCTGTCTTGTTGTGGTGTGTGGTGGCCAGGAGTACCTCATCAGTGCCGGAGCACTGAATTTTGGCTTGAATCTGGCACCTCACGTTTTCATGCGTATTACCCGGGTTGTGGTGACCCGTCTGCGTCTGCTAGGGATTTGGGTTTTGGCCTACCTCGACGACTGGTGGTGTGGGCTCCCAGTCCATCGGCTTGTCTGCTTGCCAGGGATATGGTTCTTTCCCAGCTCGTCAGGTTTGGGTTCCTGGTGAACTGGAGGAAGTCCCATCTGGTTACGTCCCAGATTCAAACCTGGCTGGGTCTTGTTTGGGATTCTCGGACCGCTTCCTTGTCTCTCCCTCCAGAGGTGTTGCTGCAGCTGCGGCCCCACCCTCAGCTGTTTCTGAGGGGGTCCCGGGTTACTCGGTGGTTGCTGGAGCAGTTGTGCAGTTGGTTGGTCTGACTTTCGCTGTGGTGGTCTACCTGCCAGGTAGTGTTTGGCTTCGGCGTCTGTTTTGGTTCCTTCGGGAATGCCCCTTCCGCCTCTTTCGCAGTCGTTGGGTTTGTCCTCCAAGGGCCTTGTGTTGGTTGCTGCATCACCAACTTCCTCTTCGGGGTTTTCTGGGTTCGGTGCCTTGGTGTCTTACCGAGCCTTCGCTTGATATGTTCATGGACGTGTCATCTCTCGGTTGGGGCTTTGTGACCAGTGCTCATTAAGCCGGCCAGGGATAGTGGGGTCCGTCCTTCTGTTGGGCTCACAGCATGGTTCACGAGTTCGTGGCAATCTGGTTTGCACTTCGGAGGGTTCAGGTCGCTCTGGGTTCAACTATCTGGCTCCATTCAGACTGTTCTCCGGTGGTTCATTGCCTGAACCGTAGGGGTTCTCTTCGGTCCTTGCCTCTTTGGGGTTGGTCCCGTAGAGTGGTTCGTCTGCTGGATTCTCTGGATTTGGCTCTCCATGCGGTTCATATCTGGGGAGTGTCCAACATCCTGTCGGATGGCCTGTCTCGCTTTATTCCCCTGTCCACAGAATGGATGATCGACGACGACTCATTTTGTTGGATCTGCCAGACATACGAACTCCCAGACGTGGACCTCTTTGCGTTGGCATTGTCTCGGCATCTCCCAGTCTATGTGACACCCTTCCCCGACTGCGAGGCGTTCACAGTGGCTGCCTTTCAGCAGGACTGGTCGAGGTGGGGTTACCTGTACCTTTTTCCCCTGGTCCAGCTGTTGTTTTGGGTTCTGGCTTGGTTGGAGACCTTCCACGGGAGAGTAGTCCTTGTGGCCTCTTGGTGGCCGGCCCAGCCTTGGTTTCCGGCGCTGTTTGCTTGGTGTCCAAACCTGGGGCGTTTCCCGTGGCTCTGCCTCTTTCAGCAGGTCTGACCGGTCTGGTACAGGGCTGGTTCGACCTTCTCTGCTCTTTGCATCTGGTCTTTTTGACGCGGGTGTATCACCATTTCTATGGAGATCAGGTGGCTTCGTTGATGGTGTCCCACCTGAGAGCTTTGTCTTGGCAACAGTATGAAGTTTCCTGGCATTCTTTTCACCATTTACTTGCTCTTCGTAAGTTGTCTTCTCATTTCGGATCGAGTTGTCTTTCCCTTTCTTGACTTTTTCAGGACCATCATTGATGCCTGATACTGTCGCTTCGTATTGTGTGGCGCTGGCAGAGCTGCTTCAGCTTGCGTTCGGGGTGGATGTCACATCCGCTCTGTTCTGTAAGCTTTCTTGTGCTATGTTTCAACTCCAGCCTGCTCATGTGCCGCCTGAGCCGTTCTGGTCCTTGGACAGGGTGCTCTCTTATCTTTCCTATGTTTGTGGTGGCCCCTTCAGTCCAAGATTGTTTTTCCAAGACCCTGTTTTTGTTGGCATTGGCCTCTGGGGGTCGGGTAGGGGAACTTCATGCTCTCCTCTGACAAAGGGGTTTCTGCTCTTTTGGTCCTGGGGGTAGGTTTGTACGTTTGCAGCCTTCTCCATCTTTTCTGGTGAAGAATGAGACAGCTGCTTTCCAGAGGGGTCCTTCCCTTGTTACCTGCCGGTAACAAGGGAGAACAGAATACCCAAGAGCCCAACAGGCGGCCGAAAAACCGAAAGGTAAAACGGACCAGCAGAGGCCAAGGCTTCTGGGTCTTACCAGCAGCCCTTTCTTGCTGCCTTTTCCCTGGACTCTTCTTTAAGAGCAGAGGGCATGGAGGACAGCTCTGCCTTGGGGCCTCTGTTCTGGATTCCTGGGGCTGTGGGGGATGCCTACTAGCAGTTCTGGGGCTGATTGCCCCTGCTTGGGTTTTCTGCTGCTGGGCGGAGTTTTTCGTCCATCTAGTCTGCTTGCTTCCCACATTTGCTGGCGTGTTTTCATATCTATTGCGTTGGTCACGGTCCCCTGTTTCTGGTGGCCACTTTCTTCTGCCGGTTTCCCGGCGT